CCACATAACTTCACTTTTTTTAATATTTGTGACACTTCTTTATGGGAGGGAGGCAGTTTGCCAGCTTCAATACCTATTTTTACCTTTATACTGAACAATTCATATTTTGAGGACAAACTAATGATACTTCTATTTGTGCAAGTTGTCAGGTGACTCATGTTTTACTCCTATATAAAGCAAATTTTACAAAATCAAACGACCAAAAATTGTACAAGTGAGCAAGTCCAATCAAGTATTACCTTCTCATAGAGAGCATCAAGGGAGTCTGTGACAATGGGATATCCAACACGGAAAGTGGGCACGGAAAGGCTATGTATCATATTCTTGGAAACTGCAGCCTGCATTGCAGTAAAAGGAACTATAGTTGAGCCTGGAATCTCAGGATAGCTAACTGGAGTAGTTTGAGCAGGGGAAGCTGCTGGAGCAGGAGTAGCAGCCACTGCAGGTGAAGCGCTGCTCTTCTTAGGTGCAATTCCTGCGGCCTTCTCTACATCGCCTGCGGTTATCCTGCCGTAGGGCCCAGTCCCTACTACTTTATTGATATCAATTTTGTGTTGTTTCGCGACCTTCTTCGCGAAAGGTGTAGCTACTGTCCTCCTCGGTCCCTCTGGAGAAGCGGAAGCAGCTGTAGGGGGCGGAGTCGTGGCGGCTTTAACATTGGGAGGGGCAGAATTGGTTGAAGCAGCCGCAGCAGTAGGCGGAGCTGGCGAACCAGATTCTAAAGACAGGGCTTTAGCTTTCGCCTCAGCCATATCCTCTTCAGACTCGGCCAGAATCCCAATCGTTGCGCCGACCGGAGCCGTTTCTCCCTCGTTAACAACAACAGCGGCCAAAATGCCACCGTAAAAAGTCTCCACGTCCATATCGGCTTTATCCGACTCAACCACGACAACGGACTCTCCTTTGGATAGTACTTCGCCCTCGGACTTGATCCACGAGACGATCTTGCCCTCGGTCATGGTAGAGCTAAGCGCCGGCATGAAGATCTCGCGGATCTTTGATTGAACAGGAGGGAGCCTGTTCCGCCGCATTCTGGTAGAAAATGCCGTACCATTGTAGAGCCGCACCGGCGAAGCAGAGGAGACGGAGGAAGAGAATGATAGTGCAGCAAACTGGGATTGAACGATCGACGCCATCGGAAAAGTAATGGAGGTTAAGAGGTAGGTGACTTGCGATCAAGGGGAATGGACAATGGAGTTCTGGTGAAGGAGAATTGTGGTGAGATTTCGGTAATATGGCGAGTGAAGAGGAAGGTTGGGGCGGAGAAGACGAGGTACATTCAGTTCGAGCAAAAGAAATTGCAGACTAAAATATGTAAAAATCCATAAATAGGAATAACGATTTTATTCTAAAATACGAGTAAATTTTATCTAATCCTATTAAAATCATATTCTCTGTCCCAAAATTAACTTCTCACTTTCCTTTTCGGGCAGTCCCAAAATTAACTTCACACTTCAAAACTTTCCTTATTTGACAAATAATCTACATCAAAAAAGTGTCAAACAGTGCCAAACAGTGTCCAAACAGTGCAAACAGTGTCCAAACAGTGTCAAGCAGTGTTTAAACAGTGCAAAATAGTGCACTCCACAATAAAGTCAAATTTATTTTCTTAATCTGTGTGACGTCTAACTGTGAACTTAATTACGGGACGGAGGGAGTAAATTTTTAGGGCATCCCCATCCATGAGTTTATTTGAAGATAAATGAGATGATGTGTAAGATTATTTTAAAGATTATCATTGTGAGTGAAAGATTATTTAGTGAGATTATTGAAAAAGAAAATCCGGTATCAAGATTCCAATCCCGGATTATTTTAGATTGTAGTTAAATTACATTTAATGCATGTCTGAAAAAAACTGATTATTTGAGTATTATTGTTGATGAAGAATTTTAAACTTTGAGATTTTTTAAATTCACTAAATAAGTGTGATGTGGTAATGATGTGTAATGAAAAAATCGTTTATTTAGAGAGCATGAATGAAGATGCTCTTATAAACAAGTTAATTAGATGGTGTAGCTCATTTGGTAGGAAGAGGATGTTCGAGCATCTCCAATGCTAAAATGTACACGGTACGCATGTGGCATGCGTGACGGCCACATAAATATTAGCAAATAAATTATCTCTCTCCTTATTTGAATGATTTTATACAATTTTGGTAAGATTTTCCCTGCAATGTCAACTGCAATGTCAATATTTAGACGGTCTCCTTGACATTGTGGAGAAAAACTTACTAAAACTGTATAAAAGCATTCAAATAAGGAGAGAGAATTTATTTATTATTATTTATGTTGCTATCTCTCATGACACGTGTGCACCGTGCACATTATACATTGGAGATGCTCTTACAAGGGAAAACTCTCGAGTTCAACTCGAAATAATGACTTGGGAAGGAACTCAACTCTCTTTTTATCGATTAAAGTTTAACTTACATCTTAAATCTTAAAATCTTATAATCCTCAATGAAGGTTTGGGCATTTTAGGGATGAAAATAATGTTGGTGTAATCACTTGTTTTATTAGGTGGTACATTATGGTTTGTTGTGTGTACTTTTTTAGAGGAATTTAACTTTCCGTCTCATTTCCGTCGATAGCTCCCGTCTTGCTAAACCCCGGTTTCTAATGGAACACGGGATTAAAATAGACATCCCAAGCAGAAATTCAAGAGCCATGGCGCACTGCTCAAAAAAGAAAAAAGAGCCATGGCGCTAGAGCTCTAGGTGATTTCGAATCTCTAGCGCCCCCAACCCTGGTTTCGCCCTAACCACACCGCTCTAGCTCCCGTCGTTTCCCTCTCCTTCAGCCAACTGTCAAGGTTTGTTTCCATGTCGTTTCTCCGATTTTCGCTCAGCTATGCTCATCTCCTTCCTCACAACAGTATTTGGGTGATTAAGTTGAAATGCATGTTTTGATCAAGTTAAGGGTCCTAACTATGCAATTCATATGCTGAGAAGCATCTTCAGATCAAAATTTCTTTAGTATTTTGTCATGTGTTTAGCTTCTTCTTCACCTGATACATTATTTCAATCATTTAGTTATATAGTTAGTTGAGTTTTCCATGTTTTACTTTGACTTTAGCATGACTTATATACAATATGGGGTGAATTGTTCTGAGCTTGTAACTAGATTTTTGCTTTTCTGGATATCAATTTTCCTCAAGACCATGGGAGTTCCAATCTGACTCAATTAAACTTATCTAATTATGTAGTTGTTGGACAAGCTAAATAGAAAGGGCATCACGAAATAAAATAGTTTTTGAACATGCTAAGTAGAAATGGCATCACAAAAGTGAATTATACTCCGTAGTTCCCTAAATGGCTGAATGCTATCTGGTAGATACCCAAGTGTAAGAGCCAGTCCATATGTAAGTCATTGGCCACTAGCCAGTCCATATAGAAGTCTCCTAAAATTAGTGTTACCAAGATGAAAACATTACAAATAGCATTCAGAGAACACTTTATGATATGAGTAATTTTAGATTATATTCACTGTGTAGGACTTTTGTGTTGCCGTCACCTGGTTTACATGTTTAATTACCTGAAAAACAATGAAATAAAAATACAGGTTAAGTTCGTTCTGATTTTATCAGCTTAAGATTGTTCTGATAAAGTTAGTTCTAAATTCTAATGGAGTATCTAGATACTTTTCAAGAGAAATAACATATTCAAGGAATAATTAGTTTTGTAAGTATTATATATGACTAGATTTTCACCCGTGCGATGCACGGGACATAAATAAATAATAACTATCCGTAGTATATGATATTATTTGTTAACACTTTTAGCTATGTTTACAAAACTGACCCGATCGGGCTGGGTCAACCCGGTCTAAAAACCTTGTTTGGTTAGTTAAAACTCGGGAAAACCTGATTGCCCGGAAAAATTTGGTTCGGAGCAGGACCGAAAACCCCGAGATACCCGGAAAATCCCGGTTTTTATTGTTTTAAAAAAAACATCTTTTTAATTTTAAAAAACTTTTGAACCCATAAATGCAATTTTACTACGTTAAAAAGAAAAAAAAATATGTAATATATCTATTTTAATATGAAAATCGTGCCATATTATATTACTCCCTCCGTCCCTTTTTATTTAGCCAATCGCTATTTTCCAAGTCAATGATGCTCAACGTTGACCACTTATATATTTATACACGGTAATATTGATAATATGAAAATGTTCTTTGTTGAACGCACTATCATAAAAGTATAAATTTATTAAATTTCACATATATATATTAGTTAAAATAATGGATCAAAATTTATCATCTTTGACTGGAAAAGTCAAAATTGGCTAAATAAAAAGGGACGGAGGTAGTATAAATTAAGTTACAATACAAATAACAAATATTACTATATACGGAGTATTTTAATATTATGAAAACTTTATTTTAGAATATTATGATATTGTTTTAAATGCATAATAAGAATGAACAAAGCCACACAAATATTGCGAAGTATGAGATTGTCTCCATCCCAAAAAGATTCGCCAAATTGAGTTTTCTCGATCAATGACAATCAACTTTGACCAATTATATTTCTTAATACGAAATTATTTTGAATATGAAAAGTATGCCAAAGTATTCCTTATTCAAAATAATTTCATAAAATTATAAAATTTATAAATTATATATAAAAATAATAATTAAAATCATTGTTCAATGTTTGCAATCATCGACCAACAAAAGTCAATAGGATAAACTTTTTCAAGACATGGATAATATGAGAAAAATTTAGTGGGACAAATGAAAAGAAAAAATGGGACAATTATAATGATTCAGAAGGATTAATAAATTACTACCTCCGTCCCTTAAAACTTTGCCAAAGTTGATTGACACGAATAATAATAAAGTAAAAACTGTGTTTTAAGGGAAGATACAAAGTTTTAAGGGACGAATGAAGTATTATTTTGGACAGTTTAGACAATTTCCCTATCAGTCCATATGACCCCAGCTCAACTAAGCCCACTATCACTCACCATTTAAACTGGCCCATTGCAAAAACCTAACGTATACACTATATAACATAGCATTTCCCTGCAGCCATTTTATTTCATCCGTACAACTCATCTAAAGAAATCATCCGATGAGTTCTTTAGCGCAGGTCTAAGCCTTTTTTTCTCTCTTATCCGACTATTTCGGTGGTATGGCGAAAGGTTCCTGTTCTCCGGTGAAAGAAGTGCGGCGGACCAGAGGATGTCAAACCATCCGATTGTTGACGGTGGCTGAGAGCAGATCGATGGATCTCAAACCATGACCTACTAAAATCTCGGAATTTGGGTATATCCCTTACATCTCCTTCCTTTATTTTGTTTTTTTTGCATCTATATCACTTATTATGTTTGTATCAGTTTTGATATTGTGTGCATGACTCAAGATTGTGATATGTGTGGGTCTGTATAAATTCAGATTTCCTTAAATTCATTATAATATTTAGTTCTTATATTTTACTAAATCTATTATAAATTTTTATGATAGACATAGGAGTATCAACGTTTTATTTGGTACATGTCATCTGAAATTCCGAATAATATCTACGCTAATTAGATGTATATATGTAAAAGTATTAAATGTATTAAATGTATATATGTCGTATTTGATGGACATTGATAAATATATACTCCGTACTTGATTTGTAAGTTAGTAAAATAAATAATATGCTTGGCATAATGACATTATCATATCATTATCTCAAGAAAATGATATAGGCAGTACCGCAGTACTAAATTAAAATGTCAAATATAAGTCTACTTATATACAATTTGTACGATATATGTATTTGGATTGCAATCTATATATGGGATAGTCTATCATCCATATTTTAGTTTCCAATTCATCTTTTTTTTATTAAAGATGATGTTTATTAAATAGTTGAACATGAATTTTGGATTTAACATTGTGAAAATGATTTATACCCATCAATTACTATTATGATTTTCTGGAAACGTGATTGACCTGAACACAAAAGTTGAAACTTTGTTTTTATTACAAATTACCAATTACCAATATTAGAAACTTTAGGAACACATTTTCGATTAGGAGTAATAATTATGAATCTTATTTTAAAGAAAGTAGGAGTAAAACTTTTTTTCCCCAAACTATAAAACCTGTAAGGTCATTATTATATGACTTTATTGATTTAATTATTATCATTGCCATTATACATAATACTAATAATTTTCTTTAATTATTAATACTGAGTAATAACTTCAGAATTTTAGCTCATATAAATAATAGGAAAAATTTATAGTAATAATCCAAACTATTGACGGTCCGCTCATAATAATCCCAACTATTGATTATTCTAGAATAATCCCAACTTTAGGGACCTTCCGTCAATAATGGTCCCTAAAATAAGTTATTGTGGTTTTGTAAAGTGGATGAGATGAAATATAGCAAGTAATCTTTATAAATAAGCCCAACGTTTAATTTTTACGTTTAATTTCTATTTAAAATTCACTTTTTATTGGAGTTAATATCTGGTCATGGACCATTATTGGCGGACGGTCTATATAGTAGGGATTATACAAAAATAATCCATAGTTAGTATTATTATCTACAGACTACCAATAGTTAGGATTATTATTTTCAATTTTTCCATATAAAAATCCACCTAAATTTTAACCCATCTGAATACTTATTTTCAGCCCAATTCAGACACCAACCTAACCAATTTTGGTCCAGCCCAACCTATTCATTTAATTTGTCTAACCTATACTAAGTATTAAATACAGTATATACGTAGTATTAAATACCGAACTACCCACCCCAAACCCTAGTAATATATTCGGAATGTTCCCGATTTGACCTACACATATTAAGGAAATAAACTTATTAGGGGTAAATTTTACTTTTTTGACACTGTTTGGACATTGTTTGGCGTTGTTTGGCACTGTTTTGCCCTGTTTGACACTGTTTTGATGTAGAATAACTTTCCATTTAGGAAAATGGGAACTTCTCTTTGGGACATCCAAAAGAAAGCGGGAACATTCCAACGGGACAGAGGGAGTATAAGGAATGTTTAAGCTTAGACGTATACTTCATTCATTCAGTCATTCTAAAAACCATCGGTTAAAAAATGGCCTCTTCATCGCTCTTCTTCTATATTTTTTCTACGGTCTGCCTATCTATCTTCTTCTAACTTTCTTCTTCGGTCTGTGAATATGTTCTATTTGTTATACGTATGCTATGTTCATTGACATTCGATTGTGGATGTTGGGAAACTTTTACATAGTTTCTGAACGATTCATCCGATGATCGGTGTTCTTTCACCTGTGAGGGAAGGGAACGTATGTACAAATGTTTTTTTACTCTTGTTCTCATTTTTTTCAGTAATTTTTAAAAAGTTTTGATCAGACCTGGATTTTGGAACAGATCTATCGACATATCAGAATCTGTTATTCGTGCATAATTTTAATATGAATAATAGTTTTTATTTTAAATTTTTTATATGTTCAGATCTATGAATTTTTGGATTGAACACGTATGCATAAGACATATAGCATTGTTTGCGTTTAGATCTGAGGATCTACGCAGTTGGGATGCTTATGCGTCTTAATAGAAGTGGATCTGCTATATCGATCAGTTTATTTTTAAAAACCATTGACCAGACGTGGATTTTTTTAATAGATCTATCCAGATCTCTGAATTTACGGATCGTGCTTTTTTAATATTCCAGACAGATCTCTAATTTTTGGGGTCTAAAAAGTGTATAAAAGACAGACCATTTGTTGCGTTTAGATCTGTAGATCTACGCAGTTGTGATGCGTCAAAGTCGTATTATACATGTATATCAAAGATATATTCGTTAGATTGACCAACTTTTGGTTTGAAAATGGTTAAATATCGGACATGTATCATTTGTGGCGTCTTGATCTATCCAGATCTTTGCCTTTGTGATGCTTACATGCCTCGATATGTATCGTTAATCTATGTACTTTTACGCTATGATAATATCATGCATTTACTTCTGATACACCTAAGATTCTATAAATTTGATTTTCAGTGTTGAGGCTCGTCTGCCAAATTTGTAGCCGTTATTTCTATTACCGTATATTTTTTAAAATATAACATTTCCTAGACAGTCTGAGTTATACTAATGCGGTTTAGGACCTGGTCATGGGTTAGCCAGATTCCCTGCCGGCCAAAATAAGGCCTTCGGATCTGTGTGGTTTGGCAGCCCATTGCCTATGCCAAAACTAACTGAGATGCTGACTATTGGCCATGGACATACCAATGTCTTATATGGACCTGTTCTTATATCTCTACCTCGCTTAAAAAGTTGCCCAAGTAATTATGTGTTTATGAATGGACTAATACGTATAAAAAAATCCTACTTCAATTATCTAGTTTTTTAAAGTCAACTTCCAAATTCAAAGCTGTTTTGTCATACCACTCGTATGTGTTTAAATAGATCTATCAAGATCTAATAATTGTTTTTTTTTCGTTTATAATAAATATTTTTAATTTTAAAAACATTAAAGGATACTTTATGGTTGTTACATTTACATTACCTGAAATCAGTCCCGGGTTGTTACAATATGGTTGTCAATACTTTTAGCCTTTTATTTTATATTAAAAGATAAACTGCTGTTATCAGTAGTGGATTTGCTAGGCCCTGTTATTCCCTTTTAGACTATATTTACACATCTTAAAAACAATACATTATCTAGTAAAAATGTTTTAAAATGGAACTGGTATTAATCATACCTTGATTAGTTAACTCTTCACTTGTTCTCTTACGTAGGCATGGACCCGGTTCGGGCCGCCCGGCCCGGGACCGGCCCGGCCCGCCACTGTGCGAGCCCGGAACCGGCCCGGTTCTCGGGTCTGGGTCCGGGTCGGGCCTAGGCCCGGTGGGGTGGGCGGGTCCGGGTCGGGCCTTATATTTGGCGAACCGGCCCGGCCGGGTCGGGCCTTATATTTGGCGAACCGGCCCGGCCGGGTCGGGCCCGGGCCCGGGCCGAATTGTTTTTGTTTTTATTATTTTTTCTTTTTTTGGGGTTAGCCAAGTTGGGCTTGATGGTTAGGAGGGGTTTGGGGGTTTGGGGGGTGAGTGGGGGGGGGGGGTGAGTGGGGGGGTTAGGAAAGCAAAAAAAAAAAAAAATTATGACCGAACCGGAGGCCCGGCCCGGCCCGGCCCCGGGCCGGTCTCGGGCCTTCCTTCCCAAAAAAAAAGCCCGGCCGGGCCCGGCCCGGAACCGGCCCGGCCCAGGTCCATGACTACTCTTACGGTTGATTATAGTTGATTTAGTCAGCCTCCTCATATTTGAAATTGTCGTACATAAATTACCTGGTTTGTTCACATGGGTTTGTAGTTTAAATGGCATGCAATATACATATCATATTCTAAATCTATCATATGATCATATCCATTCAAACACTCATTCATTCATCATTAGTTTTAAATATAAGTCCACGTCTACTAGGAATACATTTGAATGGCATTCAAATACTCGTTCATTCGTTGTAAATTTCATACTCCCTCCGTAACATTCATATCTTTTCACTTTCTTTTTTTGGACGTAACATTTATATCTTCCTATTTCTAAATCTTCCCATCATACCCTCAATAATTTAAAAATTAATATACTACTACACCTATTTTTTTTGGATTTATCCTTCATTCCATCACATTATTTCACATCTTCCTATCATACCCTCAATAATTCATACTCCATTTCACTATTCTTAATCTCACCCACTTTAGGAGTGGGAAGATATATGTGATACGGAGGGAGTATGTCATATCCATTGAAACACTCGTACATCAAAATCCACGTCTGCTAGGAATACATCTGAACATTTAAAGATTCATTTCTCATGAATGGTAGACAGTTTCCTATTACATGTATTTAGCTAAGTCTTCCCTTAGTCGTCCAGTCAAAAGAAATGCTTACAATCATATCATCATTAAAGTACATGCTATTCAGTTTTAAAATCCTAGCGGATTTTCTTGGTATTGTAAGAGATGCATCCAACCGTGCTGCACAATCTTTGCATAAGTAGTCCACCAACCCCCTGTTCTTGTTTATTTGCTTCATACAGAAAAAGTGACTATGATTTGAGCTACACCATGAGCATGCATCCAGTAGAACCCCAACACATCGTTTCCCACACGAATAACATCCCCCAGTTGAATGTATATGACATGAACACTCACTCATCTTGAAAATCTAGATAACAGAACAGGATTTGTTGAATGAAGTTATCATTTTGAATGCATGACGTGTCATCCCTGTATTAGCACAATGATATGTTCTGAATGCATATGCTAAGTTTAATTTCTGACTAACCCTTGACTTGAAAAGAGTTGCCTGGTGGCAGTTTATTAGCTTCACTCCTTGTGAGGGCTGCTCAGCTTCAAAGTTTTGCTCTGTCTCATTGATGAATTCCTAAGGTAGTGGTTGAGGCATTTATGAGTATTTTTTCTATCCTCTCTGTGAAGATAGTTAAAATCCGTTGGTAAGTAGCTACACCGTTCAAACATTTGATTTGACTGGCCAATTAGATTTATAAATGTTACCTCGGGAACACACGTTTTTTCCACCTACCTTGACCAAAGTGGTATATAAAAGAAGTTCTTTACTTAACAGTTTTCGTAAATGCTGGGGCTTATATTAAAGGAAAATTTGACGCTAATAATCCAACCTTTACCCTATCTTCTCAAAATGGTCCCAATTATTAATAATCCAAAAAAAAGCCAACCTTTGTAACCCCTCTTCCTTTAACAGTCCCAGTGACTTCTTACCGGCTAAAAAAGTAATCCTTCTTTTATCGCCAACAACAAGACCAAACCGGAAATCCTTCAGACCAATACATCTCTTCCTTCAGCGGCCCTGTCTACGGAAATTCACCTATATACGTGCAGCCACTACGCTCATAATAGGTAAATTTTCGAATCCATACTCTTGTATTTTTCCGCCGGGAGTTTAACCGGACTTGGCCTTTCGTAGTCGGGTTCGCCGTCACTGGGGCCGTTATCACCCAGCTCTCCCTTGGCCTCACTGAGGAGGATGCTAAGCACTCCAAATTTGCCCAGTGGCATAAAAAGTGATTTTATGTTGGAAGCTTATGATGGATAAACACACATTTGCAGAAGTAACAGCTGCACTCTTTTATGCAAAACCTGTGTTTTTTGTTGTTTTTAACGTATCTATGAGACAAAATAGATGTCATAAAGCATCCCCAATGTGTTTTGGGTGGAGGCAGAACCGCAATCTGGTTATTGACAAATTTGGGAAATTTTCCTAAAACAAATCATTTCTTTTTAGCTTCTTAATTGTTTGGCTCGCTCTGAAGTGTGTATATGTTATACGTTTATACAATGTGAAAGTTAAGGCAGTTTCTTAATCATTCACATTGATGAACTTGTTATCTTATAATGTCCATTAATATTGAATTTTGTATACAACTCTAAAGCTCCCTTAATTGAGTGTGTATTAAGTGTTTGATGAAATGCCACACCCATGTCATTTAGGTTGAACTAACTGCAATGGAGTGAGCTGATACTTTCAAAGGAGTCCAAGAAAATACCTAATCTTTTTCTTTTTTGTCCCTACAACCTGCACTTCCACAACAACATTTGAATGGTTTGATGGGATGATCTAAATGCTTGAAATCAATCCCATAATCCTGGCATTGTAACTGACCCATGTTAGCTCTTCTAATGCATTCACTTTTCATTAAAACATAACATTAAAGTAACTCACTCATGTTAGCTCTTTTAATGCACTCACTTTTCGATTTGTGAAAAATGCAATCTGCAAGGGATAGAAAAGGGTTTAAGATATTCTACCTGAGTATACAGTGTATACTATACAATATATAAAAGAGGTGTAACATGACCAGCTGAAATTAAAGTTGAGCTAGTTTCATGAAGTAAATTTTGTTTCTAATATTGAGAGTGTTTTACAAGTGTAATTGAAAACGATAAATGATGTGATGCATGATAATGCTAAATTTGGTTTTATTCTTGTGTAGATGGCTGCAATGGACCGTGTAAACTTGATGTTTTGGCATGGAGGTTTGTTTATGAAGAAAAATGATAAATTACTTTATTTGAATGGTGAGAGTAAATCTTTTGACGTTGATCCTGATGAACTATGTTGGTTTTGGTTGGAGGAGTTGGCAAAGAAATGTGGTAGTTACACCATCATTGAAGAAATATATTATTTGGTTCCTGGTCTTCCCTTGGATAACGGGTTAAGGAGAGTATATAATGATAGAGAGGTACTACAAATGAGTGAGATAGTGCTGAAAGCTAGATCACTGGAGCTGTATGTAGTACATGGGCTTGATCAAGAAGAACGTGTGGCGATGTCACCTTCAATTCAGAACAAAGAAGCTTCTAGAGAATCTCCAAATCAAAACCAAGTGGCTGGCTGCAGCATTTTAGATGATGTGGTTTAACACTAAAGTGTGGTTGTAATTTTTGGCCAGTTTATGTAGTTACCACTTGTTGTTATCAATCTAAATTGTTCTCTTTATTTAAGTCTTTAATAATGGTATTAGTAGTTCATATATTTACTTGGCACCACCATAGAATTAGTAGTTGGTATATTTACTAATAAATATACACTGTGTCTCTTAACTTGATGTATATTACTAATATGCACCAGTAATACAGAGTACCAGAAAAGGGTTGGAGTCATCAGTAAAACTTTGTAATATTAGTGATATGGGAGTTGGATACTGAGCAAAAGTGTTGTCTAATGTTTTCAGACCTCATATATCTATTAATCAAGGCTTCTGAGCAAAAGTGTTGTCTAATGTAACGGGAGTTGGATACTTAACATAAGGTATTGGTACACAGCGTCCTTAACTCCTTATATCTGTTTGATTGTCATCCTAAACAACATTAATTAACAAATGGTAAATGTATCAGGAGATAACAAATTACTTCAAATACAAGTAAAATTACTTCAAACCAATATCCAAACACATACATTCATAACCGTATATGGTTTATAACCAATTCCAGTATCCAAACTGGTACATAACCTAGGCATACATGAGATAACACATACATTCATAACCAATATCCAAACACATACATTCATAACCAATACCAGTGCTCAAACACATATTGACAAGTATAGAGCAACAACAACAATATCTAAGCCAACTACAACAATATTCATTTAAAGAACAAATATACAACAGGAAAAAAAATCCATGACAACATTAGATAAATGCGATATTTCTTCTCATCCCCTAAACACGTGGAGTATTTAATCCACGTTTCTTCAACTTCAATTTTCATCTGTTGCTTTTCTTCTTTCAAGTTTTTATTTTTCACTTGCAATTTCTTCAACTGTTCTTCCAACAACCTATTCTGAAATTCTAGCTCTATTTGGATTTGTGACGTCTGAACTATGTTGACCTCTTCATCTTCAAGAGATGGTTTTGCCTCAATTCCATCTTCCCACTTGAAAAATTGCAACCTCCATCCTGCCACACATAGAAAAACCTCAAATGTTTTAATTATATAATAACAAAAACTCACCTTTGTTGATGATCCAGATCTTAATACTCAACTTAAAAAACAAGTAAAAGGATTAGGCAATTGAAAACCCCAAGATGTTACAAGCCCACAAAAAAATCTATGCAGTGCTCTACATTAGTGCACTAAATATGAACTACTATGCAGTGCTCTAAAAGATTAATCTCACACCCTAAGGGATAAAAACATACAAATGACGGATATTATACCCATACTGTACTTCAAAATCACTAAACCCGTATAATTAACTAATTTTTAAAAGAACATATACAATCAATCATTCAATTTGCAACAATTTTTCTTTAAAAACAAAAAATGAGGTGAATAGATAAAATGTGAGATCAATAGCAGCACATCAACTATTTAAGGAAGAGACAAAATAACACTATATTATTTCTAGCTCCTGATATTAAGAAAACAGCAACGGCTACCCTATTCGGCTATTCTTGAGTCACTATTAAACTGTAACTAGATATGAACCCTAGCTCTTTCTACCATACTTGTAATCACAGAATATTAAAAATTAACACATTTACCGGCCATAACGAGCAGCCACGATAACACATGCCCAGCGTTAACCCCAATTTTAACAACCCTCAAGATGATGGTGTGATGACATTTTGCTCTTGGATTTACTCTGCTTGATATCGTCGAGCAAGAGCCACCACTGTCTGAACGAATGTCTTGGGAGGACATTGCTTGTATTGATTGTGTGAACCAGAAATTGAAATGAGGAAGGAGTTACATGAGGTCGCCCCTTCGCAGGTATGAGAAAGTGCGAAGGAAAAGTTAGATGAGGGCGTAGAAGGCATGTGCGGGTATAACCTTAACCGGTAATATTTTTTAATAAACATTTAATAACCGGTAATTATCAGGCAGGGACCGTTAAAGGAAGAGGGGTTACAAAGATTGGCTTTTTTTTGGATTATTAATAATTGGGACTGTTTTGGGAAGACCGGGTAAAGGTTGGATTATTAGCGTCAAATTTTCCTATATTAAATGCTACCTTGGGAACAAAGTGGTTTCATCTACTCCAGCCAGATTTAGTATTTTGTTGCAGTACTTTTTAATGTTGTTTTCGAAAATACCTAGCTGAGCGGTGATTTTTATTTAATGCTACATTGGGAACAACTATTTTCAGCTACATCAGCCACATTTAGTATTTATATGATGTGCTTTTCAGCTCTGTTTTCGATAATGTTATACTCAGCTCTAGTCCTTTTCCGTTTTTTTTGCATATTATATTGTATTCATCTTATTTTCCAACTGGTTTGAACTTGATCTGTATTATATTGATATTCTGACGAATCATTTTTACTGCCTAACTTATATTAAAATATTTTTTGATATTTTTTAAAATATTATATCCAGGTATTACACAAGTATTGCTCAATGCAGGACTAAAACATACATAAAATTCAAAAATAGGACTAAGTATATTTTATTCTGTGAATAGGACTTATGTGGTCTTATTAAACGAATAATTTGAGTAAAACTTCTTAAAATGGGAGTGAATGAGTCTTATTATGAGAATAAAACATTAATAATCCTATTTATGAATTTTATTCATGTTTTAGTTGTCGCAGGTGACTACGATTTCAAGTAGCAACCACAAACACTATTGTTTTAACTAAATAAAGATTAGTTACTCCCTCCGTCCCATAATTATCTCCATTCTTTCCTTTTTGGTCCGTTCCAAATTTATCTCCTTTTTCCCTTTTTGGCAAAGGATTTGTGGTTCACAACCATTCTTACACATTTCTCTCTCCTCTGCACAATTCTCCACCACACATTTTCCACTTTCTTAATCTCCGTGCCCAGTCAAAACCGAAGTTAATTCTGGGACGGAGGGAGTACATTTTAAAAAATATAAATACTAGTTATATTTTTATCTTCCAAAAGTATCAAAATAATATTTTTATCATTTTTCCTTACTTTAGTGTATTATTGATTTTTGTAAGTCATATACAAGCCATGAATATATTTAAAAATGATCAAATTATATTTTTGGCAAAATGATTTTCTAGACAAAAAAAACATTCTAATTCTAAAGTATAAAATAGCTTAGAGGAAACTAACTACATTAATAACATGAGATAATAAAAAATGAAACTAGGGAAACATAATTTCCATTGGGTAGGAAAAGAAATCATGAAGTTGAGTAGGTCGATTAAAATAGTAATACGCTTGGCGTAAGAGGATAAACCGATAAAAGAAGGATAATAAAATTGTCACACAAACATGGGTGCCGCAGCAGGCCTTACAAACATTTCTTTTCTAATTTTCGTTGGAATTCAAGAAGTACTTCATCCCCTAAGTTCAAGTTTACTCGAACATTTTTCTTATCACAAAACGCTTATACCATTCAGCTGCCTTGATCCAAAGCCTAATTTCCCCTAGGTGTGAGTACTTGCGGTACTAGCATAATATTTGCGTAATACGCCTGAAGAACCACTCGTGGGTGAAGAATATTCACCCTCTCAAAAAACACACTGGGAGGTATTGTTGACTGACCCGCAGGTGATACCGGCATTTCATTGATACTGGTTTGATAGAGGCAATACTTGCCCGGACTAAGGTGATAACGGTCGTTATCTCCGGCAAGATACCAACACGATTGCATGAGTGTGAGCTGATATCTTGCCGAAGATAACGACCGTTATCACCTTAGTCCGAGCAAGTATTGGCTCTATCAAATCAGTATCGATGAAGTGACGTTACCACCTGCGGGTCAGTCAACAATACCTCACAGTGTGTTTCTTAAGAGGGTGAATATTCTTCACCCACGAGTGGTTCTTCAGGCGTATTACGCAGAGATTATGCCAGTACCGCAAGTACTCACACCTAAGGGAAATTAGGCTTTGGATCAAGGCAGCTGAATGGTATAAGCGTTTTGTGATAAGAAAAGTGTTCGAGTAAACTTGAACTTAGGGTGATGAAGTCTACTTCTTGAATTCCAACGAAAATTAGGAAAGAACTGTTTGTAAGGCCTGCTGCGGCACCCATGTTTGTGTGACAATTTTATTATCCTTGTTTTATCGGTTAATCCTCTTACGCCAAGCATATTACTATTTTAATCGACCCACTCAACTTCATGATTTCTTTAACTACTTAATGGAAATTATGTTTCCCTGGTTTCATTTTTTATTATCTCATGTTATTAATGTAGTTAGTTTCCTCTAAGCTATTTTAGAATTAGAATGTTTTTTTTTTGTCTACAAATTCATGTTGCCAAAAATATAATTTGATCATTTTTAAATATATTCATGGCTTATATGACTTACAAAAATTAATAATACACTAAAGTAAGGGAAAATGATAAAAATATTATTTTGATACTTTTGGAAGATAAATATAACTAGTATTTATTTTTTTAAAAAGTAACTAATATTTATTTAGTTAAAACAATAGTGTTTGTGATTGCTACTTGAAATTGTAGTCACCTGTGACAACTAAAACATGAATAAAATTCATAGGATTATCAATGTTTTATTCTCATAATAAAACTCATCCTATTCACAGAATAAAATATACTTAGTCCTATTTTTGAATTTTATGTATGTTTTAGTCCTGCCTTGAGTAATTGATTCTGCTGAAATTTATGAAGTTCACGGTGAAGTTACTGGATTGGAAGATTCTACTAATTTATAAAAAAAAATCATATTTAAACTATACTCCGTATTATATTAATAAAATAAAGAAACATTATATGAAAAAATAGCTAAAATGATCCGCTACAGTAACATCAACCTTATTTTTTCTTATTATTACTTTGTCAGAAAATGTATTCATTATTTTTATGAAAAATTTTCTGCCGATCAGTGGCGATCACAATGACATGTTTCAAGGAGACATGACATTGGTGGCACTCGTGACGAATAATCGTGACACTTGTAGTCTGACATAATATCAATTACACAATAGTAATGCATTTAAGGTAATTGTGTTCCAAATGTTAAAAAAAAACACTAAATGCAATTCTTTATATATAATTATTATTTTATTTTTAATTTCAAAATATGTTTATATTT